CCAGGCGGTGTGGAGATGGTGGTGCCGTTTCGTCCTCTGAGCTGTGGTGTCTCGGTGCCACAGAAGTCGGCGCCGAGATAACTGAGCGTGCAGAAGGGGCAACACAGAGCGTGTGCTCCATGCGGGCCATTGCGGCCGTGCTCTGTATATGGGGTGAAGCTGCATCCCCAGGTCTCGAAGGAGGTTGGGTTGCAGTCGAGTCCTTACTCGGTGCTGGCTCCTTAGCCCTCGGTGCTGGGTTGGCTCTCGGTGCCGGGTCGGCACTGGAAGCATTCTGCAGTGCCGCATGGGACAACGGTGCCGGGTGTCTCGGTGGCGAAGACCGCACCGTGTCTGGTTGCGGTGCCGCGCGGAGACTCGGCGTTACAGATGACGGTGCCGATTCCGGACGGCCTGACGTGGCCGAGCGCACCGAAAGGGCGGGACTGGGTGCCGAGGTACTATGGGCTTTGGCTGGCTTGTCCGCTACCCGTTTGGGAGGGAAGCCCAATGAATCCTGTGCCTCTCCTTCAGCCTGTTCTCCTGATGACAGGGGCTGAAGCGCCTTATTGAAGAGTAACATCTTCAGGCACATTTCTCTGTCCCGTCTCGCCCAGGCGGTCAACTTCGAACAGTGACCGCATTTCTGGGGAATATGGCCCTCTCCCAGGCAGCGCATTTCTTAAAGCTGGGGGAACCGGGCATGCTTCGTGTGGCGGTCCCCGAGGGAAAAGAAGAACTTGAGGGGTAGGAGCGGCCCTCAGAGGTCGTTACGGCAAGAGAACAATAAAGAAATTTTTTTTTTTTAAACTATGAACTAACTAACTAATATACCAATTAGGCGGTCAACTTCGAACAGTGACCGCATTTCTGGGGAATATGGCCCTCTCCCAGGCAGCGCATTTCTTAAAGCTGGGGGAACCGGGCATGCTTCGTGTGGCGGTCCCCGAGGGAAAAGAAGAACTTGAGGGGTAGGAGCGGCCCTCAGAGGTCGTTACGGCAAGAGAACAATAAAGAAATTTTTTTTTTTTAAACTATGAACTAACTAACTAATATACCAATTAACTAACTATGAGGGAAGGGGCTAACTGGGAAGGAACGAACGAATTAACAATACGATTTCTCCTCAGAGGGGAGCGTGTTCCAAGTCCATCTGTGGCCGTGGATGGTTAGGAGGAACTGGCGCGTCGGACCGCGTGACGCAGAAAAGGCGCGAACGCCGCGGGGCACTCTGCACATGCACGGTCCTCCGGAGGGGGCTACTGCTGGTGAAAACTTTCCGGATTGCGGCACCGGGACGAGCCCGACACCTGTAGTGGAGCACCCATGGGGACATCACTCGAAGAAGAACAGTATTTTTATAATACAATAATCGTTTAAAGCACTGTAGTAACAATATAAGATAGAAAGTTTGAGACCCTTTTAGCTACTATATTCTAGTACAATTTTAGTTTGATTTTTTTAAATGAGGAATTTGACCTACTTGCCTCAGCAGGCTCTATCTATATACCACACTGTGTTATTGAACTGCTTTAGTAATTTAGCACCTTGTTTCTAGAACTCTCTGCTCAGTGATGTAACCACCTTTTCTTTATTTTAAACTGATGCTTCTTATATTTTCCCTTTGCTTTCATGCATTAAAGTCACAAACTCTGTTACTAAACTGTCACATTTTTGTGAGGTTCTTTGAGATGTCTTGACATAATTAGTTATATAATTTGAAGATGTTGCATAAAAAAGAGATGATTCACTATTCAAACATTCTCTTTATTAGTTACCATCTAACCTTATAAGAAATTAAGGAAAACAAAATACTTGGGTGAAAATGGAAATTTTAACTATGACCCAGGAGAAAAATCAATAATACAGCTGCCAAGATAAGTAAATAAGTCATACATTTTCTGGACCAATGATTTGTTTATTTGTTTTTAACTCAAGATTGTAACATTAGGTTTTCAGTAAAGCATCAAAAAGTGATAAGTCATGAGAAAGGCTTATATTTTAAGATATGTCAAGAGATGAAATTACTTTCAATTACTTTACTTGAAATGAAACTTGTCACAAGCTCCCAACCAGCAACTTCTGTGTGTAATTGCTTTTGGGGTCTGATGCATCAGCCCAATAGGACAGCTATACTCCCAAAACACTATTTTTGGGGAGGGGATAAATATGCTAGCTCTTGAAGAATCTTATATAATTTGGAAAAATTCCTGTTTTTACTTCACGAGAAACACAATGAGAATTTGGATTCCATTCTCTGTGTGCTTCCTCAGTAGGATGCAAATATTTTCTATGTAATTTACTAAGCTTTCTGTCACTCTTTTAAACTGAAATACTGGGTAAACCTACCTCAAGAAGGACATTTACAAATAAGTATTTTCCCACAGGCTAACAAAGTAAAGTGCACCAGAGAAGGTAAGTGTGACAGACAAATCTGAGCTATAGGATTAGGGCTCTGTGAACATAAGTGAGTCCATCAAGGTGACGTGTCATAGCCAGGACTATGCTACTTGGATTTTATTATTCGTTCTAAGCACTTCATGCTATAATGCATGTATTCATCTCCCACCCTCCAAAAAATGTGGGCTGCTTCAGTATGGAGCTACAGTCGGTCAGTCACATTGAGGAAAATACGTGAACTAAGAAGCTTGATGCATTCCCACAAGATATCATTCTGATGAAGTATTTAAGGTGACCTCATTACAATCTTCAAATAAATTATTTACTCTTTGTTTTAAAGTTGTACTAACAAGCCTGAGTAGCAATATAATTCAGTTCAGGTATGTCTACACCGCCACCCTAGTTCGAACTAGGGTGGCTAATGTAGTCATTCAAACTTGCAAATGAAGCCTGGGATTTAAATATCCCAGGCTTCATTTGCATGTTCCCGGGCGCCATCATTTTTAAGTGCCCGGTAGTTCGAACTACCTGCCCATAGCTACATGCGGCAAGGGCTAGGTAGTTCGAATTAAAGGTCCTAATTTGAACTACTGTTACTCCTCATTGCAGTCATTCGAACTTGCAAATGAAGCCTGGGATTTTGCAGGAGGAGTAATGGTAGTTCGAATTAGGAGCTTTAATTCGAACTACCTAGCCCGTTCTGTGTGTAGCCGCGGGCAGGTAGTTCGAACTACTGGGCATTTATAAATGGTGGCGTCCGGGAACATGCAAATGAAGCCCGGGATATTTAAATCCCGGGCTTCATTTGCAAGTTTGAATGACTACATTAGCCACCCTAGCTTGAACTAGGGTGGCTAGTGTAGACATACCCTTCATGAATTATTAGAGGTCAGCAAGAAATACAGTGTTACAACTGCTTCAGTATTATTCCGTTACAAGCTGTAAAACTATTTATTTCACTATATTCAACCCAGCTAGACAAGATGGGAGCATAGAAAGTTTACTTACCATATCATTCTTTGCTCTCTACTTCTGGATTCATAAAGTTCCTCAAGTAACAAACACATTTTTATTTCAATCATTTATGCCATAAGCAAGGTTGATCCTTACTGAGAGTGGGGAAAAATAGCTTTTGGGTGGGAAAATTCATCTTACCCAAATAGCTAGCTGAAATTCATTCTATTTTCATTTTCAACATAAGATAGTAATTTCTTCTGTCGCTCAGCTAAGCCACAGAAAAGCGTATTCATATTGTACGCATACTTTTGCTTACACAGAGATATTATATTCCTTTTAGTAAACCATACGTTAAAAGCTAAATGATAGTGCAAAATGTGGCATTTTGCCTCTAGTATACTTTTATATTAAATCTCCATTTTAGCTAAATGTCATCTTTTGATAAAAGCAATTACTAATACACCTGGGGAAAATTATAGTGGCCTCTCCTTGTGACCTTGTCCAACATTTTAATCCAAGTGAGATTATGATTTCTTCCACTGATACCAAATGTCATTACTTTTGGTAATACATGTGTGTAATATCAAAGTTAAAAATGTACAGACAATGTACTTATCTGGTCATTGAAACTGGTGAACACTTTATGCAAGTTGAAAGTTAAACTATTTTCTTGAAATTTCATGGGAATTATAAATGATCCAGATAAATATAACAGTCCAGTGGCCTATTGGAAAAATGTTGTGAATGGCTAATCAGACTCTGGCAGCTACCTTCTTGTTCCAAAATCACAGAGATAACTGAGGGGTAAGAATTTGCATGACTATCTAAGACACATATCCTGCTCCTTTTAAAGACTATGAAAAAAATGGCATTCTCTTCCATGGTGCAAGATTCAGCCCTAAAGGGCATGTACAAGATTCTTCTAAAAGGAAGAAAAAGGCTGGAACATAGCATATAGCAGAAAATATTATAGTAATCACATATGTTTTAAGGGACAAAAATTATAAATTGAGTTGGACACAAATTTTCATCCAAAACTTTGTTTTGGCAATGAAAAAAGTTTCATTTTAACATTTCTGATTCTTTTTCTTTTTTCATTTTTATACAGAGCTGCTGAAAGAATGGCCAGGCCCTCGGCAAGCTGGGGAGATAGAAACTCTGGGACCCCCAGACCATATTTCTTTTTTGATTTTTCAGAACTAAGTGAACAACAAAAGAAAAGTTAATCAGACAATCCTAATGGTCATTAGATGCCTTTAGTACCATCTATGTGATAAGAAGATCTCATATTTACTGATGTATAATCAAGACAAACTTTTCACCGTTTACTGTTTTGTCAGCAGCATTTCCATTAAGAATCCATACTGTAATATTTTGGCCATGTTAATGGCATCTCTGAAGCTCAGTACACTAACAGCTAGTCTGCATATGGAAATTTTTGTGATGGTTTAAAACTTTAACCTATTCTGAGCAACAGAGCATTAGAAAGAATCAGTTTTCTTTCAAATCTTCTTCCTTTTGCCGAGCTCAGCAGGAGAAGCTTAAATAATGAGAGTTTTCAAAAGCAAAGTTTTCCAGGTTCAGC